ACATGCTTCTTTTGCTCTGGGTCACACATAAAATCCACACCCTTACAGTAGTATTTTGGAGCAGTAGTACTCAGAAGTCATGAGTTTGCCTTCAGAATCTAAAGAGCCCTTTCTGTAAAGAATTTCAAATATATTTGTTATCCCTCAACTCAGAGGAGATATTTCAACATGTCCTAGACCACTGAATCCCTAGTAAACTTCAATTAGATGACAGGTATCTGAATTTTTGTGCAATTTTTCTCATTTATCATCTTCTGGCACTCTTATGAAGGCATCTAGGATATTTGTTATTTCTTGCTCAATGGGGCTATTCATCATTATCTCATCAATGTAATGGATGACCTTGATAACTTATGGGACCAGACTAGATTATAACAGAGAATGAGACTTGACATAGCCCAGAACTAAGACAATGGAAGTGTATTGTGATGCCTGCCAGATGTAAACACATGTCTTCTTATGAATTTTGCTAAGAGTTATGGAGGGAAAAAAAAACTCTCCAGATCAACTGCTCTGTGCCAAATATCACAAATATCAAATATGACTTATTAAAAAAAAAAGACCATATCTGGAACAGCTGTGGCAACTAGAGTAACCACCTGATTACATTGAGAATGTAATTCCCACCATCATTTTCAGGATCTATCTATCCTATGTAAAAGCTATATAATTAAATTGAACAGCAATGGAATCATCACTCCTGCATCTCTTAAGTATTTAATAGTAGCACTGATTTCTGCAACTGATCCAGAAATGTAGTATTGCTTTTGGTCCACTGTTTTGCCAGCATGAGGCAATTTCTGAAGATACCATTTGACCCTTCTTACAGTGATGGTCCTCTTTCTAAACATCAAGGAATTGATGAAGGGATTCTGCCAGTTGCTGATCTGTTTATTCAAACTATGCATTCAGAAAATGGGTGTGGTTCAGGTAACTACCATTAAGAGATGAACCCAGGCCAAAGTCCTTTTATCGTCTAAATTTCATAAGCTCCTAACTCTGGCTGGAGGACCAGCAATAGCATTTCACTTTCCAGGAATTAATGTTGAAATATATTTTTCAGCACTTTGATAAAGAGGGATACTTCTGAGGGAAAAAGTTAGGGATGGATAATAAAACTGAAGATGATCACCCCATTTCAACACCTTATCTGTCATTATAAGCTTCTGGATTCCTTCCTCTAGAGTACACTAGAAAGTTTCAACAATTCTATTTCATCCAGTGCCTATACTTTGGATAACTCATCAGGAAAACTGTTAGAGCTTCTGCCAGTTGCTCAAGCTAATACACTGATTCCAGAATCTCTGGTAGGTACATCCTCCTTTCTCCCTTGTCTAACACCCTTAAGCCTATTCCCATATACATCCCTAAGGTTTCTACCAATATGAATTGGTAAATTATTCTAGGGTTTAGACTTAGTACTTATTCACCTAAGATCTGCAGGATTTAAGTTTAATTATGGATCTCAAAGAAATGAGTGGCAGTGGAGCTGGATTTAGAAGTGAATTATTCCCCTAAATCAAGAAACTCAGGTGACATCATTACAGGGTTTTCGGGCAATCAACACTAGGAGAAATAACTGTTTCCCAGCAGGGAGAACCAGCAGGATTTGGGGGATACAAGGCAATATTTATTGAAATCTATCCAAATAATCTCATTTTAATTCTCAGGATCCTTTATTTCCCATTTGATACCTTAATTCTAACATAAGAAGTCTACTGAGGCCACAAACTCATTTGCATTGTGTTTCAGCCAACTTCAGGGTCAGACATTGGGTTTTATTTTCAGAAGTTATGATTCTATTTCTATAAAAAATAAGGGTTTCTTTTAGGGTAGTCAGAGAAGCTATCTGGTTAACCGACCATTAATTAAAGGCCTAAACTTGTCATTTCTTTTCTATCAGTTCTCCAGTGCAGTGAAAATAAGCCAGCACATCTCATGGTCCTTGTAGTCTTAGTTTTAATCACAATTTTCCATTGCAATAGCTACTTGGTTTCCCAAAGCTACTTGGTTTCCTTTCTTCTACAGATACTTGACTCCATGATACTATGTATAAAAACTAATAACACTGTTATCAAAAACTCAGAAGGAAGTATGTAGCATGAGAGAGAAAATATATATTGTTTTAAAGAATACTACACCTAAATCATTAAAAACACACTGGAGATAGAAAAATGGTCATTAAGGGCATTGCCAATGAATGCTCAGAAGGAAATGGGGAACATGTTACTGGAAACTAGAGGCAAGGGAATCCCTGTTATACAGTAAAAAAAAAAATTGGCTGAATTATGTGTTGCAGTTACGCAGAATACAAATTACAAACTCGACATTTAGTTGAGGAAATTTTCCAAGCAAAGTGTTGAAAGTGTAGTCTGGTTTCTTACTGCTTACAGTAAAATATAAGAGGAAAAGGAAAGATTAGGGGAGAACTGGTAAGCAAAGAGGAATAAAGACTTGATAATTCGGGAAACTGTTAGCCTGTCCAGACCACAAAAGAGACTAAAATTAGGAGTCACTGTCAGCTAAGCATGTTCTGCATAGAACACTAAGATTTGCAGAGCTGGACTGAATTTCACTAGTTCCTTGGAAAGATCAAAAGGTCAGGGTCAAAAAGAAATTTGAAGATGCTATGCTGCTGTCTTTAAAGGAAAAGCTGGCCGGGCACGGAGGCTCACACCTGAAACCCTAGCACTTTGGAAGGCCAAGGTAGGCGGATTGGCTGAGTTTAGGAGTTCGAGACCAGCCTGGGTAACATGGTGAAACCTAGTCTCTACTACAACACAAAAAATTAGCCAGGCATGGTGGCATGCTCCTGTAGTCCCAGCTACTTGGGAGACTGGGGCAGGAGAATTGCTTGAACCCACTCGAGACATCAAGCCACTGCACTCCAGCCTGGGCGACAGAGCAAGACACTGTCTCCAAAAAAAAAAAAAAAAATACCATGAGCCAAGAAGTACAAGTGGCTTCTAGAAGCTGGAGGAGGTAAGGAAACAAATTCTCCTCTAGAGCATATAGGAAAAAAACAGTTCTGCTGACACCTTGATTTTACTCCAGTGAAGCCTTTTTTTGGACTTCTGACCTCCAGAACTGTAAGATAATAAAGTTGTGTTGTTTTCAGTTACTAAATTTCTGGTAGCTTATTACAGCAGCAGTAGGAAACTAATACAGACTTTTGGTTCCTAGAAGTGAAGTACTGACATAAAAAACATCTAAAAATGTGGGAGTGGCTTTGTAATTGGACAATGGAGAAGCTGAAAGAATTTGAAGAGCATTATAGAAATCAGTGAAAAACACCAACCAACATATTGAAAAGGTTCACTAAACACCAGGCAAAATTAATACAAAAAATTACATGAGTACATCATAGTTAAAATGCTAAAAACCAATAGGAAAGAGAAAAATGAACATGTTATATTTATATATTATATTTCTCAATATGACCTAAGTCTGACGTGTCAACAGAAACTATAAAAGTCATAAGATTGGCTGTGTGTGGTGGCTCATGCCTGTAATCCCAGCACTTTGGGAGGCCGAGGTGGGCAGATCACCTGAGGTTAGGAGTTCAAGACTACCCTGACCAACATGGAGAAATCCCATCTCTAAAAAAAATACAAAATTAGTTGGGCATGGTGGCACATGCCTGTAATCCCAGCTACTCAAGAGGCTGAGGCAAGAGAATAGCTTAAAGTCGGGAGGTGTAGGTTGCAGTGAGCCGAGATCACACTATTGCACTCCAGCCTGGAGAACAAGAGCGAAACTCTGTCTCAAAAAAAAAAAAGAAAGAAAGTCATAAGATTATGGAAAAATACCTTCAAACATGCTAAAATATAAATAATACCTTCAAACATGCTAAAATATAATTATATTCTTCAAAGACAAAATGACATCGACAACAAAAATGTTGAAGAAAATTATCTCTAATAAAAGCACAGAACTGCTGGAAGGAATGAAGGACACTAAAAGAGTAAATACAGATGGCAGACAAAAATGAACCAGTGACATTAAGCAAATCCATTAAACAAATAATGCATACTTTAGACTCAACTACCCAAAGGTAAAAAGTAATATCGGTGGCTGAGTCTATGACATTTACACTGATTAGTAATGGTAATGTTACTTCTCAAGTATTGGTAACTGAGCAAATTCTGTCTTGACATATGTCAGTGCAGTGGCATAATGATGGCTCACTGCAGCCTCAAACTCTTGGGTTCAAGAGATCTCCCACCTCAGCCTTCTGAGTAGCTAGGACAGGTTTGTGCCACCACACCCAGCTAATTTTTTAAAAATTTTTTGTAGACATGGGGTCTTGCCTAGGCTAGTTTCAAACTCCTGGCTTCAAGCAATTCTCTTGTCTAAGCCTGTAAAAGTACTGGGATTAAAGGCATAAATCACCTGCCTGATCCCTTTTAGTAAGCTAGAATAAGAGAACTATAAATGTTATGATTCATTGTATTTATATAAACTATTACATTTATGATAAGGAATAGCATTAACATTTTGGAAGCAAAATATGTTTAAAAGTTTTTAATCTCATCATTTAAATACTTTTCAAGGCTTTTAAACATGTTCTCTTTGGTTTGAGAATGTTATGCACTTTAAATATATGTGATGCACTTGAAAGAACAGAAAAAAAAACAAGAATTTTTTTTTTTTTTATAAAAAGCAAAGGATTAATTATCATAATATTCAGGATAGTGGCTACCTCAATGAGAAAACAATAGAATGGAGCAAAGAAGGAAGCATGATACATCCAGCAGTACTGAATATTAATCTACCTCTTAAGATGGGTATCATGTTTAAAAATGTTCATGTCATTATTATGCATCAAAACTTACACAGTAGAACTTGGGGATAAGTGGTTAAAAAAAACTTACACAGTCCTTCATAGGTACTAAAAGGTTATTTAATGAAAAATTTAAAAGAACAGAGGTAATGAAGTGAGAAAGCTTGATTTATTATTCCTAATCAAATAATTAACAGAGATTTGTAGAAGGAAGTACCTGTTTCATTTCCTGTTCCACAACCATTGTGGATCTGCTGTAAGCCAGGAATTGGCCGTGTTGTCAGATACCAAACTGCATGTAGGACATCTGTGGCATGTATACGATTGTGATCTAAAGTCACCAAAATGTTTTTCTGTTAGGTTTGACATACAACATTTAAAAAGTACAAGAATTTCCTAGTCATAGTATATCTTTGTAAAAAATGTGTGACAATAATTCCCCACAATTGAATTTTATTTCACCTAAAGTCTCCTGAGGTGTTAAAAAAAATTCTCTTTTAAAAACATTCCCATATACTATGAAAACAGAGCAAAGGGGCCAAAGAAAACACAGGATAACAAAAGTGTATTAAAAGGCATTGGAAAATGTTCTTAAGATTGCTATTTTGTGGCTTTCAAGAATATCATCTAAGTGTCTGGATTACAGAAATTCATGTTGGCACACAAAACAGTTTTGTACACAGAACAGTTACAGATTCTGATTACTTACATTTTCGTCCCCCACAAAAAGAGTCAGAAATACTATGTCTCAGGCTTGCTATAGAAATTAAATGCTAAATAACATGTGAAAGCATCCAGCACAGTGTCTGACACATTGTATATGGTCAATAAAGCATTAATTTACTGAAATTCAACTATGTGAAAAGGTAATGTGGTATAGTGTAAAGATTATTAGAAGTCATATAGACCTAAAACTAAGATCCTACTTGGATATCTATCTAGTTTTATAATCTTGGGAAAGATCCTTCTGAGTTTACTTCTCACCTATGAAAGGTAGGTAATACAACTTTTCCAAAAAAAGATTAAATAAGAAAACCTATGTGAATCTAATAATTGCAGTTAACATAGATATCCAATAAAAATGCAACCCTTCAACAATTATTTAATGTATATGTATGCATTAGTAGGTAATATGATATTGTTTTGCCTTATAGACATGACATGGTGTTGATCCACTGGGAGCTTAATTATTATTAATAAATCACCACCTTTTACTGACCATTGACTAAGTATCATGAATTCTGATATGCGCTTTATATAAATTATCTTATATTATGGCTACCTAAGGAGTAGGTACTATTGTTATTCCCATTCACAAATTTTTAAAGTTTAGAAAAGTTAGGTCCAGAGACTATTTTCTTAACTAATATATCCTAATTGAAGCTGACAGTGAACACTCCTTACCACCTCTTTCTTTCCATTTCCCTTGAAGTCCATCTTAAAGTAACACTATATTCCATTTATAAAATTCAACCACTTTTTAAATGCATAATTTATAAGTGAAAATGACAGTATACATAACTCACCTTATTAAACATTATTAATGAGTTATGCCAATTGAAGAACAATTCACTACTTATAGAATTAATTTCCCCAAAAATTTGTCCACATGGAGGGAAACTGTAGATAATACATAAAGACAGTCCCATCTTTTCCTAACATGGAATCCAAATTATATTCAAACATAATATCTAATAGCCATTAAATTATTCCATAAACCAGAACACAGTTAAACACTGAAATTATATGATAAATTTTAAACATTTTTAAGTGAATGATTTTCTGAAACTCTTGACTAATTTTTGAAAAGATAAAGTACTCAGACAAATAATATTTAAAATAGAAAGATGTTTACTATATAACAACTAGGTGAAAAAGCAGATTATAAATATGTATCAATATTATGACTGCCTTTACAAAAAATTAATTTATGTAAGAAGAGCTCTTGGAGAATATATACCAAAATGTTAACAGAAAACAGACAAAATGTTAGCAATAGTTTGTTAAACCTAAGTAGTACAATACAGATTTTCTTTTTAAATTTCCATTAAAAAATTTTTCAGGCCAGGTATGGTGGCTCACACCTGTAATCCCAGCACTTTGGGAGGCTGAGGCAGGTGGATCACCAGAGGTCAGGAGTTTGAGACCAGCCTGGTCAACATGGTGAAACCTCATCTCTACTAAAAGTACAAAAAATTAGCCAGGTGTGGTGGTGGGCACCTGTAATCCCAGCTACTCGGGAGGCTGAGCAGGAGAATCACTTGAACCCAGGAGGCGGAGTTGCAGTGGGCCAAAATTGCACCATTGCACTCCAGCCTGGGCGATAAGATCAAGACTCCATCTCAAGGAAAAAAAAAATTCAAACATGAAGTTTTAAAAGTGTTTAAGGGACTATCTGAAGAGAAAGATGACAAAGAGTTTCAAAATCCATATTATTTGAACTTAAATAATAAGATATATTAATACTTACAAGGAATGTCTCGATAGCCATTTTCTAATGCACGAAAATAGTTCATAAATTGTTGACTGGGAATTTTAAATATTTCCAATAAACCAGTGTCTTGAAATAAGGTATACATAACCTAAATGTCAATTAAAATAAAGTTTACTTTAAAAATCAGAATTTCTATTTGTGGCTGAGTAAAATGTTTTGTGATTTGTATTTTGGAATATTAACATATGTCTTTAAGTTAATAATTTATTTAAAACTTGCCTACAATTAATTCTTTCCAAAAAATCAGAATGGAAGCTATCACCCTAAAGTCCCTGAAAGTTAAAGAAGACTAACCATATGTACCATGTCCCAATTTTTAAATGTTTCCATTCTTCTCCTTAGCTTTTTATTCCTAATTTACTGAAGGTCATGTGAATTCTATTCTAGTCTAGTCCCGAGTAGTAAAAAAAAGTCAAAACAATACAACATTTGTCACATTTTTATTCCTAAGGAATTTCAATGAGACGAAATTACATGTCTTTTACAAAATTTAACCTTATGTTTTTGCATTTCATAAATTAAATATTAAAGTAATTAATGAGAGTAATATTTTGCAAAGGTTAACCTGATGCTGTTATGCGAACCCATCAGATAACCCTGAGTCTGGGTGGTAAAATGAAAGTATTTTTCCATGGTTCTAGCATGAAATGAAGCTTCTGGCCTTGGGTAAAGTAAAGGGAGGGCAAGTGAAAAAAATGAAGCTTTCATTTCAGTGGTTAGAACTAGATCATTTTTCGATCCTTTTCAACCTCAACATTCAAGAAAATGTAAATCTTTATTATTTCTTTAGTATAAATTAAATCCCATTAATATGGTCAAATAAACTATGATATATATAATAGCATGATCTATATATTATATATAACTGTTTTATGTATATGCTTGAATTTTTTGGAAAAAATGATGTAATGAACAATGTCATTGTTGAACTAGTGCCTAAACCATTATATGATATTAGAGTTTGCTGAGAAAAATTAATTTATAGTTTATTTTATTTATTTATTTATTTATTTATTTATTTATTTATTTATGAGAGAGTTTCGCTCTTGTTACCCAGGCTGGAGTGCAATGGCTCAATCTCGGCTCATGGCAACCTCTGCCTCCTGGGTTCAAGCAATTCTCCTGCCTCAGCCTCCCGAGTAGCTGGGATTACAGGCACACACCACCATGCCCAGCTAATTTTTGTATTTTTATAGAGACGGGGTTTCACCATGTTGACCAGGATGGTCTCGATCTCTTGACCTCGTGATCCACCCGCCTTGGCCTCCCAAAGTGCTGGGATTATAGGCGTGAGCCACTGCACCCGGCCTTAATTTATAGTTTAAAAGTAGATATTTGAAAGCAAACCTGACTGAGAATCCTTCCTGATTTCTCTCCCATCTTTTCTACAAGTTCAAAAATTGGAAAATTCCAGTTGCTCATCTTTTCTATTAATGAGTCATACTCTTCTACTAAAATCAGTTCCAGTGATGCCTCCTGTTCAATCTGTACACACAGGAAAACAACAACAACTTTACTTTATCTTTCATAAATATTGCAAAATCCACATTAAAATGAGAACACTTATGATTAAACATTAAAAAATAGTCAGTACTATTTTCTATAATAGTTATCCTCAAATATACTCTTGTCTGCCCTTGTAATTTTTCTTTCTAGAATGCTATCTTCAGACAACTAAAAACATAGGCATAAGACTTATTAATCTTCTTATACCATTTTTATGAATAAAAGTATTTTATTTCCAAATTATCACACAAATCCAAAGTCTATTATTTTCATTTTAGTAGTTCCAGGTATCAAAGGTAAGAGAAAAAAAGCCCCATATCCTTATATTGGCATTTATTAACAGAATAATTTTTCAAAAGAAATAGATGCTTCCTTTCCCTAAAAGCCTAAATTTTGAAATTTAAGAAACTATATTGCTATTATATGTAGATTATCTTCATTGTTTTTAATAACATGCACATATTCTCTATACCTTAACATATGCAAAAGAAAATATAAGAATAGAAAATAATGTATTTTTTATAAAACTAAGTAAAAGGTGTTCATTTAAAACTGAATGCAGTTTGTTGCTCTAGGATGATAGAATTAGAACAAATTACTGTATTTTCTGTAACCCAAGAAATATTTCAGTTATAGTAACTTATCAGTAAAAAAAAAAAAAATTAAAATTCTATTAATCTTGTTCTGGGCAAAAGTAATGAAGCCAGTACTAACAGTATTATATTTCACCTTAACATAATCACATTGAAAGTTTATCTTTTACATTTGTTTGCTGTTCATTCTGTGCCTCTTCTGTTAGCCAATTATCACCTTCCTGAAGTAATTTTCTGCTGTCTTTCTTCTCCGTTTCTTCTTCTTGTTGAGTTTCCGTAAGTTTGAATGATGCTTTTGAGAAAATGTTTTCTTCTTCACCTTTCAAAAAATATATATAGTAACAACTAAATATATACTAAATATATAGTAACAACTAAATACATATAGGGCACATTATACTAGGAGGAAAATGTGCCCTATATGTACAGCTTTACATGAAAAATAGTTATTAAAAATATTTAGATAAAGTAAACCATAATGGAGTTCAATCTAAATTATTTCATGACATTATTAAGTTGTATCTTGCTTGGCTATTTTGTCTAGATACCTTAAGCTCAGGCAACAAAGACATTTCATGTATTGGACTCACCTTACATATCTACCCATGGATGCTAAGTGGATATTCTTTATAAAAGGGAGAAAAAGAAAAATTTCCTATCAATAGAAATTTTCTTACCAATTTGATGTAAACAACTTCCAACATCTCTTTTAGATATAAAAACTCTAAAATCATAATTATAAATCAGTAAGATTAAGTAACATGTAAACCTTAAACCACAATATTGTAACTCATGATTTATTTCTCTATCAATGTAATTAATAACATTCTTTTCTCAAATGACATGGAAAAGGAAAGCAGTATTGGTAGTTCAGTAGTATTCATTCACATGTTAAAAAACATTCATAAAAAAAAACATTCATATTCAATCTATTTGTAGTACTTTAAACAGGGAACTTATCCAAAACCTATCAAAAGTAGAATAAATAACTTGTGGTGTATTTACACAATTGATCACTACAGAGCAAACAGAATGAACTACAATATGGATGATACTTAAAAATAAAATGTTCAGTGAAGGAATCCAGGCACAAAAGTACATACTCTGTTCAAAACCATATGATAAATGAGAAATCATTGTCTTTGGGACATATGATTGGAAGGGAAATGGCAAGTAATTTTGAGGTGTGGGTAATATTTGGTTTCTTTTTTAAAAAACAACTTTTATCTTAGGTTTAAAGGTACATGTGCAGCTTTGTTATGTAGGTAAGTATGTGTCATGGGGTTTGTTGTACAAATTATTTCATTACCCAGGTACTAGGCCTAGTACCCAATTCATATTTTTTTCTGATTCTCTTCCTCCTCCCACCCTCCACCATCAGGTAGGCCCCAGTATCTGTTGCTCTCCTCTTTATGTCCATGTGTTCTCATCATTCAGCTCCCATTGATAAGCAAGAACATGCAGTATTTGGTTTTCTGTTCCTATGTTAGTTTGACTCCAGCTCTCTCCCTGTCTCTGCAAAAAACATTACCTTGGGTTTTTCTATAGCTGCATAGTATTTCATGGTGTATATGTATCATATTTTCTTTTCTTCACCTTTTCTTTTAGGAAAATTATAATAATTATTTATTACTTGTTCCACTATGGACACAGATGGAGCCTAAATTATACAGTAAAACAGAATCTGATTCAAGTCTGAATACTACCATAAAAATGAGTCCTAGCCCCACTGCTTCACTAGCTGTGATGATGTTTTTTTCATTTTATTCGTTATTTTTATGGCTGCATAGTATTGCATTCTCTGTAGGTTGAGTTGTTTTCTTGATGAATCCCAATGTGTATATATATATGGATGTTTCAGTTGAAGGTGCTGTATGTACTCACCCCTTCTATTTCTCTCCATGAGAGCAGTGCACACTAGCTGCTTCTAATTGGCCATTTTGGCCAGCCTCCTGTTTTGTTTCTTGATCTGGGTGCTGATTATATTATAGTTACAAGCTATAAACTCATGATCTATGTACTTTCAAGACATAGACTTTTTAAAATTTTCAATATGTAGAGTGTTTTTTTTTTTTTAAGTAAAAGGAGTTCTTGGCCAAGTACAATGGCTCATACCTATAGTCTTAATACTTCGGGAGGCCAAGGCAGGATGATTACTTGAAGCCAAAAGTTTGAGACTAGCCTGAGCAACAGAGCGAGTTCTCATCTCTACAAAATAAAAAAAAATTTTTTAATTAGCCAGGCATGGTGGCCCATGCCTGTGGTCCCAACTATTCAGAAGACTGAGCAGGGAGGATTGCTTGAGCCCAGGAGTTGGAAGCTACAGTGAGCCATGATTGTGCCACTGCACTGTCTAGCCTGGTTGACAGAGTGAGATCCTGTCTAAAAAACCAAAAACAAAAAAATTCTTAAGAGTACTCATTGGAGTTGAGTTTCAGAAAACTACTTGCAAATTTTAATTTTTGTATTCATAAATGTTAGTGCAATCTCAACGTAATACAATGAATATACCAAACAATCATTGATTGATTAGATGATGATCTGGAAATATTCTTGTTTAGAAAATACGATTTTTCCAAATGAAAAACATTTAGTTTAAGAAATTAAATTTAGAATATTCAAGTATTCTTGGTTAAGGGCAGTAACTACAATGAAATAGCAATTAACAAAAATTGTTGATACTTGAGGTATATTACATAATTTACTTTTTAATGGTATGGGCTCCTAATAACTGTTATCTTACAGATAATAATAAAAACAGGTGAGATAAATGTAGCATTTCTTTTCTAAAGATGTCCACAACACTGTCTCTTCTCCCACACACTTTTCTGAAATGTATTCTTGTCACTCCTCTATCAAGACAGAGCATTTATTTACCAACCCCCTGGAATCTCAACAGCCCTCATGACTGCTCTGATTAACAGAATATGGCAGAAGTGACATTCTGTTCTGAGTTGGGCCATTAACGGGACTGGCAGTTTCCACTTCCTACTCTCTGAGAATGCTGCCAACAAACTAGAAGAAACCCATGGAAGGGTCATATTTAGATGGACTGGTCAATAGCCAATAGGCACATGAGTAATCCATCTTGGAAACTCAGCCCAATCAAACCTTCAGATAAGTGCTTCCCCAACCAATATCTGACTGCAATCTCATTAAAGTCCTTGGGTGAGAATCTCCAAGCTGAGATGAGTCCACCCAAAGAACTATAACACTTAACATATTATTGTTCTTTTTAAAAAACTTTATTGCATATAATTACATACCATTGAAATCTACCCATTGTAAAATGCCTTAGTTCAGGCTGCTATAACTGAATACTATACAATGAGTTGCTTATAAAAAATAGGAATTTATTTCTCACAGTTAGGGAAGTTGGAAGTCTGAGATTAGGGTGCCAGTCTAGCCAAGATCCAGTGAGTGCCCTCTTCCAGGTTGCAGAGCACCCATTTTACATTGTATCCTCACCCGGTGGGAAAGAGGGCTAGAGAGTTTTCTGGGGTTCTTTTATAATTCCATTGATGAGAGCTGCACCTTAATGACCTAATTACCACCCAAAGGCCTCACCTCCCAATATCATCATATTGGGGTATAGGATTTCAACACATGAATTTTTGGAGGAACACAAACATTCAACCCATGACGTAAGTGTACAATTCAACAATTTTAGTATATTTGCAGTTATCAACAATCATTTCAATCCAGTTTTAGAACATTCTCAACACACCCAAAATGTTCCTTCATGCCTACTTACAGTTAATCCCTCTTCTCACTTTATGCTACCATTGTTGTGATTATTGTTTCTTTAAGTTTTGTCTTTCAAGAATTTCATATAAATGTAATCATATAATATATGATCTTTTGAGCCTGGCTTCTTTCATTTAGAATAATGTTTAGAAGTTCATCTATGTTGCAACATGTATTAGAAGTTTATTCCTTTAATTGCTGAATTGAATTCCATTGTAATGATATACCATGTGATGTTTATTCATTCACAAGTTGAAGGACATTTTTATTGTTTCCAAGTTTGCTCTATGGTAAATAATGCTATTATGCATTCACATAACCATCTCTGAGTGCTCATGTTTTCTCTTGGGTAAATTCTTAGCTGTGGTATTGCTGGCTCATATGATAAGCTGATGCATCCAGATACTGACTGTCAAGAAACTGTCAAAATGTTTTCCAAAGTGGCTATACCATTTTACATTCCCATCAGCAATGCACAAGGGTCCCAATCTTTGCCAACAGTTGGTATTTTTGAATTGTCTTTTTAATTACAGCTATTATAGTTTGAGTGTAGTAGTATCTTATTGTAGTATAAATTTGCAGTTCCCTAATGACAAGTGGTGTTCATGATCTTTTCATGTTTTAATTACCCATTCATTTAAATACTTCTCCAAATTACATTCACCAAATTATCTTGAATATTTTGTCCATTTTTAAATCGAGTAGTTTGACTTATTATTGAGTTGTAAGATTTCTTTATATATCATGGAAACAAGTTCTTAATCAGATGTATGATTTGCAAATATTTTCTAAGTCTATTGTTTCTCTTTTCATTCTCTTACTGATGTCTTCGGATATTCAAAAGTTTTTAATTTGGTGAAGCCCAATTTGGCATTTTTTTCTTTATTAGATTGTGCTTTTGGTATTGAATATTAAAATGCTTTATTCAACCCCAGGTCACAAAGACTGTGTTCTACATTTTCTTCTAGAAGTTTCATGGTTTTGGTTCTTACACATATGTCTATGCTCTACTTTGAGTTACTTTTCATTTTTCATGTACATGATGAGGTAAGGATGTAAGTTCTTTCTTTTGCAAGTGGATAGCTAATTGACCCAGAACTATTTCTTGGCAGAGGGGGGAGGGGAAGAAAATGACTGGCCTTTCTTTTTTGAATTGTCTTAGCATCTTTGTTGAAAATCAATTGACTACAAATGCAAGAATTTCTTTTTTGGACTGTCAGTTCTGTTCCACTTATCTACAGGTTCAACCCTGTGCCTTGATTATATTAGCTTTAAAACAAGATTTCAAATTAAGTAGTATATAAAAGTCCTCCAACTTTGTTGTTTTTCAATTTTTTTTTTTGCTATTATAGGTCATTTGTATTTCCGTATACCTTTTAGCACCAACTTCTATCATTAAAAAGGCCTGCTGAAATTTAATAAGAATTGTGCTCAATTTATAAATCAATATAGAAAAACTGTCATGTTGACAATACTGAGTCTTCAAATACATTACTGTGAAATGCCTCTCAATTACTTGGCTTTTTTCTAATTTCTGTCAACATTGTTTTTATAGTTTCCAGTGTATAAAATTTGAACTTTTGTTAAATGTATTCCAACTACTTTATTTGTTTTAATACAATTGTGAATGGAAATACTTTCTTAATTTCAATTTATAATAGTTCACTGACAGTATATAGAAATTCAATTGATTTTTGTATATTGATCTTATATCTGGTAACTTTGCTAAACTTGTGTATTTGTTCTAGTAGAGTGTGTGTGTGTGTGTGTGTGTGTGTGTGTGTGTGTTCTTTGGAATTTTCCATGTAGAAGGTCACATGATCTGTGAATTGGGAGTTTTATTTCTTTGTTAAAATTCTGGATGGCTTTACTTTTTTTTCCCTAATTTTTCTGGCTTCCCTCCAGTACAGTGTTGAAGTGCTGAAAGCAAAAACCCTAAGATCTTATTCTTGATCTTACGGGGAAAGCATCAGTCTTTTTCCATTAAGGATGATGTCAGCTATGTGTTTTTAAAAGATATCCTTTTTCAGGCTAAGGAACTTCCCTGCTATTATTAGTTAGCATGTTTTTATCACAAAAAGTGTTGGATTTTGTCAAATGGTTTTTCGGCATCTATTGAAATTATCATGCAGTTTTTTTCCCCTATTCTATTACCATGATATAGTACATTGATTGACTTTCTAATACTCAACAACTCATTCATTCCAATATCACTTGACCACAGAGTGATCTTTTCATATTGTTGGATTCAGTTTGCCAGTATTTTGTTAGGGATTTTTGTTTCTATACACAGAAGGGATATTGGTCTGTAGTTTTCATGTGCTATCTTTGTCTGGTTATGGTATCAGGATGATACTGGTCTCATAGAATAAGTTAGGGCCGAGCACGGTGGCTCACACCTGTAATCCAGCACTTTAGAAGACCGAGGTAGGTGGATAACCTGAGGTGAGGAGTTCAAGACCAGCCTGACCAATATGGTGAAACCCTATCTCTACTTGTTTACTTTTTAAACAATCCTTTCAAATGAAAAAAAAAAAACTATTAAATTACACACTTTAAAGGGGTAAATTTTATGGTATTTAAAGGAATTGGGAAGAACCTATATTTCCTGAAAAGGCTTGTCTATTTTTGGTTTACCTTTTTTCCTAGGGTACAACACTTCAGAGTTTATCAAGTTATCCCTACCATGGCAAGCCTTCAACTCTAGTCTCTGCCTTCCTAGTCCCATGAAGCTACTAATAAAATTGCTCATCCTACCAGTCATTGTTCTCTCTGGAATTGGCATACACCCTTTTAATAGCCACAAACTCCAGGCTCACTTTTCTTGGAGTTCTGTCTTCCAACAGATCTTGTACTGGTGATTCACAGAATCTTTTTAGTTCTTCAATGGCTTCAAGTAGACTTTTTAAATAAATAATTCATCCATCTTTTCTAGTTGCCCTCAAGGGGAATGTTGGTCTGAGTTACTTAGTTAACTACTACTGGTAATTCGAGTCATCAATTTTTAAGGTTATAAAACAACTATAATTTCATCAACACTATTTCTTGTTTGAGGATATAAAATATTTCAGAATGATACAATTAACCAGACTTTAAAACAACTCCTCTTTATGTAATAAAAAAAATTTATGCAAACCCTTTTGGGTTTAGATTGTACAGTACAAATTTCAATGTTAATATAAATAATTTCACTATTTATAAACAATAGCCATAACCTAAGAAGACTACATTCATTGGTGCAGCACATTTTTATTGATCGAATTACTTTCACCATCTATTATTTATAGTTTGTTCTTAATAAATTCTCTTGAAGTGTTTAAAAAATAATAATCTTCATTTTAAAGATGGATAAACTGAAGTTAAACTCATTCATTTGCCCATTCTAAAAATCATTATAAGAAATTTCTCTTAAACTCAAGTTCATATAACTTTTGTAATCTCACCTGATTTTCCACAGCAGCAATCTGTACCATCTGATTCAGATGTTGAAACGTATTTCAGTATTTGATGTCCACAGCTTATAGAATAAAATAGATATATATATACAGTAAATGAGGTAAAAGTTTTTTACCTAAACACAATTAGAAAATCTGTTTAATTTTAACCAAGGTCTCAACTGCAACACATCCTAACATTCCAATCTCTCTATAAACTTAAGTCTTTAAACTAGAAAAGTGTCTGTGTGTCTTTGAAGGAAACAATATATTTTTGAAAGTGAACTTTGGGTATGAGGTAAACCCTTACTATTAGTAAAGCACAAATAAGATCAAACGCCATATGACTGGGTACTATGAATAGGTACTAGGTAGTGTATACTAAATTAATATTTACTAAGATCTTAGGATGGGTAGAATACCACTATATTTTATCTCAGATGAAAACTATTTAATTAAAAAAATTAATACCACTAAAATGAGAAAAGATTTATTTAGAATAAAAACTACTAGATAAATAACAGAATAGAGGCTGAATCCATCATCTAGTTATAACATAGAATGAGAAAGCTGGTAATAATTATTCAATACAGGAAAGTCCTCACTTAATATCATCGATAAGTTTTTGAAAACTGACACTTTAAGTGAAACAACTTACAGCACATCTTCAAATAATGTCATTTCATTGTAACACCAAAAAAAAATCTGGTCATTAAGCTTAAAGTTAGAGTTTCCAACAACCTATCCAAAATGTTGAGGGCTTAACTGTAATTGAAATTTTGAAACAGAAATAATAAACAGTTGGGAAACTTACCTGTTACACAGATTGCTATCAGAATTTCTAAGCTGCTGGAAAAAATCTGGTGTATTGGGTACATTGCCTAGAGATCTCTGTAAAATAATGCTTGGCTTATTAAGAAAATCAGCAGTATCAGGAAATTCTATATGTGATCGATTAGTTAGAGAGCCAGCAGACACTGTTCCATGGTTGGGAGAATTCACAGGACTCAGACTGGACAAAATACCTTAAAAAATTAAAAGAAAGGCAATAAATAAGAATATATTTATGTGTATGTGCTCGTTATATTTATTTGTGTTTTTATTAATTTTTTTCCTTATTTAAAGAAAGCTTTTTTACATTAATTTACAATTAAATGATAAAATAAATTCCTACATGGGGCCTCAAGACATTCTGGAAACTTAAGCAGTATTTGCCATATTTGTCATGATCAGTGGCTGTTGAGTAAACATCCCTTGTTGGGTAAATATCTACATTTATAATAGGTAACATAGTGTTCACATTTACCTATTATAAATGTAGACAAACAGTATGACATATGGTATGGCATAAATTTTTCTAATTCTTATTGGTCTTTAACTTTTACCTTATGTATCCCTATCAGATTGATTACTCACATGAGCAAAGCATCTCTACCAAATTTTATTGAATTATTTTCAATTCAATAAAATTCGATTTTATTGAAAAACTAAAATTATCTTTTTTGTGTGTGAGATGGGTTCTCATTCCATTCCCCGAGTAGAGTGGCACGATCATGGCTCACTGTAGTCTCAACCTCCTGGGCTCAATTGATCCTGTGGCCTTGGAGACTACAGGCACAAGCCACCACACCTGGCTAATTTTTGTATTTTTTGTAGAGACAGGGTTTCATGATGTTTCCCAGGCTAGTCTCAAACCTCTGGGCTGAAGCAATGCTCCTGCCTCAGCCTCCCAAAATACTGGGATTACAGGCTTAAGCCACTGCATCTGGCCAAAGAACTAAAATTCTTAATAGCATTAAGCAAGTTGAGAATATAATATCATATGCTAACGCAATGTCAGATCCCTTTAAAAATTACATGAAAATATTTCCACCTGATTCATTCATTCAACAAATATTTAGAGTTTACTATATGCTGGAAAATGTATTGAACTTCACAATGGAGAAAATGATACCATCCCCACAACTCAATGAAGATAGAGAATAGTGAAGAATACAAACAAATGCTAAATGCTTAATAAGGAAAAAAAACATAGTGCTTCAGTAACATGAGATGAATCTCTAATTCTGTTTATTTATTCCAGAAACCTTTGCTGAGTGCCTCAAACTAAAGCAGTGTGGGTATACCTGGAAAGAGGCAGGTAGATTTATAACCTTATTTGAAAATAAAGACCCACGTAAAGTGTGATTTAGAAATGAAAACAAGTAACAGTCATTAAGGAGCTACAGTATTTTCAGGCATAGGGGTAAACGTTGATAGATGTGTGCAATGGTGTCAACTTGGTTATGGTGCCCAGCTGTTTGTCCAAACACTAGTCTGGATGTTGTTGTGAAGATATTTTTTAGATGTAATTAATATTTAAATCAATAAACTTTGAGTAAAGCAGATTAACTTCCATAACATGGGTGGGCCTTGTCCAATTAGCTTAGGGCTTTAAGAGAAAAGATTGATGTCTCACAAAGGGGAAAAAATTTTGTTTCCAAACTGCCTTCAGGTTCAAGACTGCAACATTAACCTCTGCTGGAATTTCCAGCCTGCCAGCCTGTCCTGAAAATTTCCTACTTGCCTGCCTTGCAAGCACTCATAATTGTGTGAACCAATCCCTTTAAACAAACTCTCTCTCTCTCTCTCTCTCTCTCGCTGTGTGTGTGGGTGTGTGTGTGTAAATATAATGTTCTTTATCTTTTGCCAATCTGATGGTAAATAGAAGAGCACTATTTCCTCATTACTAATAAGGTTTAGCACATTTCATGTTTATATGCCATTTGTATAGGTTTTTTTCCGTGAAATGCTTGTTCAAGTCTTTTGCTCATTTTTCTATTGGCTTGCGATGATGGACACACTCTAAGGTAGTCCCATTAACCCTTCCCCCACCTGGTGTTTGTGTCTTTGTGTAGAAAACACCTATGACGCTCTTCTTATCAACAGAAAGATGACAGGATGTGACCCCTACAATTGTGTTACATTATGGATTCCATTTTGCTAGCAAACTCACTCTGCAGATTCTCCTTGCTAGCTCCATGAATTAAGCAGCCATATTGACGAAGACCATGTGACAAAAAACTATGAGCAGCCTCTAGGAACTGAGAGTGGCCTCCAGCCAATAGCCATCAAGAAGCCAGAGCCATCAGGAATCTACAACCAAAGGAAATAAATTCTGAGGACAACCTGAGTTTGGTAGCTGATTCATTACCAGTTGATTCTCCAGATGAAAACAAAATAGAATCAACATCTTGTTTTGAGATTGATGACACCTTAAGCAGAGGACTCAGCTGTGTGTGGACTACTGCATAAAAAATTGCTCCATTTGTTGTAATGTGATATACAGCAACAGAAAATGAATAGTTGTCCATAATTCTTCCACTGATGAAGTTCTTTATACAGCTGAATTCTAGTTCTGTTTCAGATGTTATTACTATTTTGAATTCTTTTTATATGACTTCTTTTTTTTTTTTTGACAGTCTCACCCTGTCGCCCAGGCTAAAGTCCACTGGCATGACCTTGGCTCACTGCAGCCTCCGTCTCCCAGGTTCTCCTGCCTCAGCTTCCCAAATAGCTGGGATTACAGGCACCCACCACTATACCCAATTAACTTTTCTATTTTTAGCAGAGACCAGGTTTCACCATATCAGCCAGGCTGGTCTCGAACTCCTGACCTCAAATAATCTGCTCACTTCGGTCTCCCAAAGTGCTGGGATAACAGGTGTGAGCCACCATGCCCAGCCTTTATATGACTTTTTTTGATAAAGAGGTTATTAATTTTCAAGTAGTCAAATTTATTCATCTAATCCCATATGGTATTTTCATGTCTTGTTACAGAAATTTGTCCCTACTCTAAAGTCATAGAGTGTAGCAGCACTGCACATTTTTAATTAAATTTATCTCTAGGTAGGTAATTGATAGCTTTTGAAGCTGTAGTAAATGATGTTTTAAAATTTCATTTTCAACTATTTTCTGACAGTACAGGGTAATGCAATGAATTTTTCTGTACAATTAAAATCTTGCAAAGTTTACTTATTCTAATTACTATTAGTAATTCTATTACTATATTTTGAGATCCTTCTAGAGTTTCCATGAATATAAAAAGGTAATCTGCAAATAAAGGAAAGCGTTTATATCTTTCTTTCCAGTATTTATTCCTTTTTTAATCTTGTCTTCACTGATTGTCTAGAAATTCGAGGAAAATGTTGGAGAAAAGTGTTTACAGTGAACATCTTTATCTTGTTTCCAAAGTCAGGAGGAAAATGTTCCAATATTTCATCATTATATATTATGTTTAAAAAATATTTTTGGTAGAGACTTTATCAGATTAAATATGTTCCCTCTATTCCCAATTTGCTTAAAAATTTTTATGAGTAATGACCAAGTTTATCAAATGAACATACATGAAAAGCTTTCTCTGTACCAATTAAGATGACCATATGATTATTTTTTTTATTCTACTAATGCAGTGAATTTTCAAAGATTAAACAGACTTTACATTCCTGTAATAATACTTCCTAACATGAACATTATGGTATTATTTTAATATATTACTCAATTATATTTGTAACTTTGTTCAGGATTTTTGTATCTATATTCACCAGAGATGTTGCCCTCTAGTTTTTTTGTAATATCCCTTTCAGGTTTCGATATTAGAGATATGCTGGCCTCATAAAAAATGGTTTTCTCTTACCCTTGTCAGTGAAAGAGTTATATAAGATTGGCTGTGTTAGGCAGAATAATCACTGCCAAAGATGTCCACATCCTGACCACAGAATCTATGTGTTAGATTACATGGCAAAGGGATATTTAAATTGCAAATGGACTTAAGGTTGCTAATCAGCTAACCTCGAGATGGGGAGATTATCCCGGATTATCCAGTTGTGCTCAATTTAATGGCAAGAGTCCTTGTCATTACAAGAGTCACACATAGCTGAATCCTCTGCCTAAGTAAAAGAGAAGCAGACATAAAAGAGCCAGAGAGATGGCAGCATAAGGATTCAGACTGACATTGCTGGCAATGAAGATGGAGTAATGGGGACATGGGCTAGGAATTCAGGCAGGCAAGCTCTAGTAAGTCCTCTAGAAATTGGAAAATGAAAAGAAAATGGATTATTCCCTGAAGCCTGCAGAAAGAATACAGCCCTGCTGACACCTTGCTTTGGACCCAATGAGAACAATTTTAGACTTCTGACCCCCAGAATTGTAAGAATAAATTTGTGTTATTTAAGTCACTAAATTTGTGGTAATTTGATAATGTCTCAGTCCATTCAGATTGCTGTAACAGAATACCACAAATGAGGTATTTTATAAATAAGAGAAATTTATGTCTCACAGTTCTGGAGGCTAAGAAGTCCAAGATCAAGGCACTGGCAGATGTAGTGTCTGATGATGGCCCACTTCCTGGTTCACTGATGACCATCTTCTCATATCCTCACATGGTGGAAGGGATTAGGGAGCTCTTTGAGGTATCTTTTATAAGGCACTCATTCCATTCACGAAGAGTCCACTCACATGACATAATCACCTTCCAAAGGCCCTAGCTCCAAATACTATCACACTGAAGATTAGGTTTCAACATATGAATTGGGGTGCAAGTGAGGGGATATTAATATTCAGTTTACAGCAAGTAACTATAGAAAACTAAGGCACTAGATATAATCTTTCATAACAACATTTTCATTAAATATTGGGAAGAATTTACCAGTAAAGTCATAGGAAGGTTTTTAACTACGTTTAATTTCTTTAGCAGATATATGACTCTTCAGATTTTCTGTCATTTTTCTGTAAGTGTTATCTTTTTGTATCAGTGTCATGTCTTTTTCTTTCTTTTGGTTTGCTTTACTGTTAAACTTGTAGATTCTTAAAATGTAAGCTTAACTGATTTTAAATTTTTCTCCTTTTTGCTATAAATTTCCCAAGTCAAAGCACTACTTTACTTTCTTCCCACATTTTAATAAGTCCTATTTTCATTATTATTCAGCTCAAAATATTTTCAATTTTTCATTGTTTTTCCTTCTTTGACCCATAGGTTATTTATAAT